TTAATTAATGCGCAAGTGTCAATCAAAAAGCATGCGGTTTGTACATTGCAAGAATTTGTGTGATTGTGTTGAGACGGGGCGAGAATAAATATATTTTTCATAAAAGCGTTTGAAATCTCTACTTTTAGTGAGTTGTTGTGAATAGAGGAGGCAATTCACGACAATGATATTGTGATATATACATGGCCTCTGACGAATTTCTCAAAACTATGTCATCTAATCGCTGTGCTACGAAGTCCATACAGTCCGACCAACCGATTGCATATAGCAATTATAACATATTCATGATATAAGGGCGAATCATTTTCATTTCAAATCTTTCGTAATGGCTCAAGAGCTCGTTACTCTAGGTGATTTTTAACAAGGACGCAGTATTCCTTTGTGGTTCCCAATTAGTTGAAAGCCTACAAAACAAAGAAAAACATTTTCGCCTGCAAGAATGTACACATAGTACAAACTGTCTGTACGGAGTACAGTAATAACTTCACTCACTCGGCGTATGAGAGAAGTGAAGCCAAAAAGGTAAAAATTGGCGTCCAGTTTTCATATACCATTTTTTCTAGCTAATTCCAAGTTTTTTTTCTAACGGATCGTATCGCTAATCAAGTTATCAGTTCAAAAAGCCATAATATCATTCATTAACTCGTAGTCGAAACACGAAATATTGGCACTAGCTGCTAGCTTGGTCCTCTATTGTCAGGCTCAGCACAGAAAGGGAAATGACAGTTGCGACTTGCGTGTTTTTAATGCAAAAGTTACGCCCCCTTTCATCAATGTTTTGATATCGTAAAGTTGTCCAATGGCAACGTTGGAAAATGTGATTGAATGAGTGGCATGCAATTTCCGAGAAGCGATTATATTGCGATTCTATACAATTTCATGGGCGAGTTCATTTTGTTCGCGTCTATCAATAAGAGAAAATCGCCGACAAAATGTCTAGTGGGAACCATGCTTTAAACTACGGGTATTACCAATTCTTGCGATGCTGATCTCCAACATAACCCAAATTTATTGTAACGTCATTCCGGGATAGTAGTGAGTTTAAGCAAGCGATTTTTTTCCAACACCGACGTCACTGGAAAATTGGTATAACTAATTTTGGCGGCATTTTGCATCATAGCGCTCGTATAAACAAGCGAAAAACTTTAAAAATCGTATGTTTTGTCGTATGTGTTGAAGATTACCACAAACTGACACAAACACAGTTTTTAAACCAGTCCACCCTTGGCGATCGGACGTCCGTTGACAAAAACGTCGTTTGCTTAAGCTCTCTGGAAATATAGAAAATCACCCCGGTTTTCAATACTGAAGGAAATCCGCTGTGGTTGGTTAGAAACCTCTTTAGGATTAAATACCTGTGATCTCCAGCCCCCACGCAAACTGTAAAGATTTGCATATACCAAGCTTGTTCAGGTTGCAATATATACACTAGAGTCTTGCCGAGGGCTATAGCAAAACAAATCAACTATGTGTTCTGTTGTTCCGCAGTACGAACGCGGCCGGGCCGCCCGAGGATTGTTGAAGAAATTACTAGAAGAGAAGAGAATTGAGGAGGAAAGGATACGAGAGGAACAGAGAAGAAGAGAGGAGGAACAGAGAAGGTAAAGTTTTCTATGAAATATTTCGATGTTTAAGTGGAGCTTGTGCTATACAAGTGGATACCACATTCCAAAGTTCAGTTAGATTATCGCTTATAGTTCAAGGTCCACAATATATCGGGTGAAGATAAACCGATTTACTTTCCGTTTAATACTTTTACGATGTCGGTCATTTATAATCAGTTATCGCGAAAACATTCCACGCTTCCTCTACCTATGTTTGTCATTCCCTTTGAGGGCTCGAGCTGTAACGGGTTTGTATACAATATTATATAGTCATACCGAACTATCCTGAAATTTATATTATCTGATGAATTGGAAGTCAATTTCTTAAATATAAGAAAAGACAAGGCAAGCATATATTTAGTACCATGTGCATACATAAATATGCAAGACTAAATATATAATAATGATATTTACAGGAAGAAGTACTTGCTAACTGTAATAACACTGGACAGTTAGCATTTTTTATTCAAATTCAAACTATAATACATGTATTTGATAGTCGGTAATAGGATTCAGTATAGATTGTGATTTACGCAACCAAAAAATGTTATTTCTTGGAATTAACAACGACCACAAAAGCTTAAAAATAAAACAACTTTATTGTTTACAACGTTTCGGAGTGTTACTCCATCTTCATGTAATAAATATTGTAAATGAGGCTTAGAGACATTTCGATACTAAAATTACTAAAAAAATGTTGTTTAATGTAACTTAAACATGTTTCATCATGAACGAACTATATATCTATAGTTAAAAATGACAAACGAAGGCATTTGAGTTTCCAATAGGACAACAGCAAATTATATTTTTAAATTTTCTTGTAAACTTAAACTTAGATGTTGAAAAACTTTTCAGAACTTCATGATCAATTTAATTCCACACATTTGTACCAACAAATCTTATATTGAACTCGCCATATAGTTAGTTCTTACTTTTGAAAAAGAGTGAGATGATCTTGAAGCAAGTCCGGTATTATAACTATATGTTCCTGACTTACTAAATTAAATATAAAATATAGCCCACAAATGCTTGAGGGAGATTGCCAGTGTGATAGTCATATACATAAATAGGCCACTGTGTTGAAACGCAAGATTCTACTGTGCTCTCTATATGTACGGTACTTTATATATTATGACGTTTAACAAACACTTCCTTAAGAGGGGACACCGCGTTCAAAATTGTTCGTACAGTATATTAGGTTTTCAGATTAGGGATCGATTTGCCTGGGCTGGTGGTAGGAATGGCGTTTAACTTAATCGATATTTATAGCGCCTATATCCGGAGGATAAATTTCATAACGGCGGATAAAATTGCATGTGTTGTACGAAGCTGGTTTAGTAAAAGTCCGTCGGAAACCGTAAGTTCAAGGTTCGAAAACCGGATTTCCTGAAACTTCTTGCCTGAACGTCAGTAGTTGCTAGGCATTTGTGAACTTTTGTTGCTTTAAAAACCTGTATATGAATTCCCCTATATATAAGTTTTAGCTAAACTATATTAAATTCCAATAATTTTTTTTATGTTATATTTGGATGTTTATATTTCTTGGTGAGTTTTATAGAGATAAAAAACGATACTAATTTACAAATTTAAGTTTCAAGTTTAGTTTATCGCTTCAAAAATGTATCTTTCGTCCATAATTGCAAAAATTGTGATTTTGGTTCATTGATTTCCCAATATTATAGATCGTTTTCTTATATTTTCACATTCGCGCAGTGTTTCTTATCCACTTGTCGATATTTCGTAGGGAGATTGCCGGCGTCTTTGTTCGAAGGCAATAGCAAAGATTATGCATGAGTGATATACTGTTTTGTTCCTTGACCTAATTGCACTTCAATTTCTTTCAAAACAATTTTTAGAACATTTCGCCCATATTTTGTTTGGCTGCTCAAGGAACAAGGCCATTAAAGAAGTGAACACCTTTATTTCGACTTTTCTGATCTTGTTGTCTATTTATATTTGTACAGTGTATATTTGTTTAGACCTATGACGACAAAAAAGAAAATAATTGCTAGTAAGCAACATAAACAATCAAAGAAAAGAATGCGTGTGTTGAACGCCCACGCACGTTTCCAACCGTAAACATTTGAGCATCCCGATTTTCGAAATTTGTCAGCCACCTGATCATTCCTCTTCGATGAAACAAAACAGTTTGTAGCGACAAAGAAAAATCGGTACATCAAATTCCCGACCTTACAGCTTCAGCCGTTTCCTTATAATATATAGACATTATAGTTAAGAATTATTCACAGACGTGGAGGTGAATACCACTGCAAGTATATTAAATCAATTTGTATTTTAAGTCCCGTAATAGTTGTAAGCAAAACAGTATTTACACCGCTTTTAGTAATTGTACTCATTAGAAATAGCTTTAAAGAATACCTAACACACTGTTAAACAAATTTTTGTGGCTTTCGTCGTGTTTGGCGAAACCGCAGCTTTGCCTTTGTTTAGACAACTTTAGTACAAAAATCTGTAACCGGAACGATATGGGAAGCCATTTTGTTTTTAGCTGGCGGTAAATAGTGCATGGATATCTGGAGCTGAGCAACCCGTCAATATGCGTGAAAAGCACCATTTACCTACCAAGTATATGCTAACAGAAGCTATTATTTTGCCGTGTTTACTCTTATATATTATTTTGGCAGATATTTTCTCGCCATTTCCGTATACTCGCGCATGCGCTTGACGTTTACCCACGGTGTTAACGGCTATTACATCATGTATATAGCGTGCGGACAAACCAGGAACTCTTTCTATAAGTATTAGTTTCGATTCTGTGCTCATGATTGAAACGAGTGTTGCCTTTTGTCACACGTCGTCGCTAAGCATCATGACAATATACCCATGTCTTATGACTTATGCGATAAGGGCGAACGAATGTCTTTTGGCGTTCTCTTTTATTTTCACTGCAGGGTTGTATGTCTTTGTTAGACCTGTTTACTGATTCGGATTGGTGATCCAATGACCCATTGATGCACATTTATTTGGCCATTGCAGTTTTTTTTACAATTCTGCTGTGGGTATCTTAAAAGAAGAGGCTTGAAAGAGGCTTTCTCTATTGTTGTCCGCGGCCATATGGGCATATTTACGCTGTAAAATCAAACACATAAATGCATTCTCTAATAAAACAATGAACTGATTTAATTAAAGTCATTATAGAGGCGAAATTATTCCAGATAGTAGGGAGTACGAGTTAAGTTAAGTCAACGAGTCTAGTTAACGTTGTCAAGCTCTAACCACAAGTTCCTCTTATAATACTAGGGTATACTGCCATGTTAAGGTATGGGTTAATATCAAGGTTTTGTTGGCATCTCACTCGATTGAATAATAGTTAAAGGTTTTGGCATCTACCATACCCTTCATGCAGCTATTATTCAATCCAGTGAGATGTCAACAAAATTTTGATATATTATAGTCAGTGATAATGATGCAAGTTAATGATGTTCTTATAACTGCGTCAAATGTATTCTTTGTATTGCTGTAAGTGTTTCTTTGTTTTGATATTTGCTAAGCGCACTCATGGACAGAATTATAGTTCAAACCTCATAGCCTATACAAATCCCATTTTAATCACTTTCCTAACATTACAATTAAATCTCAAATATGCATTGGTTAGAGCAACAATTGTAGCTAATAGATGTACCATCTGATATATGCATGAGCAATAAACAAAAACGTGCATGCCTAACAGTATATTCACAAACAAGCAATTCCGTAATGATGAGATAGATTCACAGGTATACTATATGCAATATATTGGACACAACGTGCAATATTGATCTACACTTACGCACATATAAGCAACATATATAAAATGTGTGAATGTTTTTGTCTGTAATTCATATTGTACCAAGCCAAAGGATTGATCATCGCTTCATTTTGAAAATGGAGTTTCAGAAATCTTATAGAAGGATTGTAATTGGGAATAAGATTTCTTCCATGTTTATAAGGTATATATAACAGAGAGGTTACGTTACTCATGTATAGTTAACAATTGGTGACTGTAGTTAACAAAGTTGAATCATGTATATCAGCTTCGATGTTATGTACAGTATTATTTATGTTTATATAAAATAAGAAATAAAGTTCTACTCTAAGTTTGACTTTTCAGTTAATTTGTATCAGTCGTATAATTATATAGTAAATCAATTATTCTAAGCAAGTACATAAGCGGCATAAGTATAGGTGGCTAGGAGATTATATAGACCCCCAAAAGTAGACACGAGAAGGCTGGCCCTGTAGCATCAGGATGGCAAAACTTGATGGTGTCAGATTTTTTGCTGCCTGAAATGCCATGCCAAATGACGAAATTCAGCTATATATTATTATATAGTTTCGGCATGTCAAGTCTTCCTCAGAACGTAGGAAATGCTAGAAACCCTATAGATTTGCACATTATTTGGGGGAGCATCCCCACCCCTGCTAGGAATTATGCTTTTACCCTAGTTATCACGCACTTAATTCACTGTAACAAACAAATTTGTTAAAACAACCATGCATGCAATAAGTTGATTCAAAATGAATCTGAGATAACCAATTTGTTGGTTGTTTTATTAATTAACCTGTTTGTTTTTACATTGAATTATTATAAGTGTATGATAACTAGTAAAAGCGTAATCCTCTGGATGAGTAACTATAGGTACTGTACATGTATAAGTACATGAGCGAATAATTGAACAAGAAACGAGCAAACAAGGGACTGGAATTGTTTTTGCTGGTTTCGTGACGATAACCTGCAGATGCATTATATTTCATTATAAGCTAGAAACATGCAATTATTTATTAAGTGATTCACTTAAATCAATATGCAATTATATTAATCGTACCTAGTAATTGTAATGGTTATCATAATCTTATTATTTATATATAAAATGATTATAATCATGATAAAAAACGAAGGGAATTGTTCATATATGAAAGGCCTTTATAAGCAAATATAATTTATATGCATATTTTTTATCTAAATTATATAATTCTAGCAATAATTTATATATACGCTACAGCCACTCATGCCCAATGTCTATCGTATACATTTTTCGTGAAGGTGCATGATGATAGTTCACTGGGGAGATGTGAAAAGTTAGGCTTAAAGACTAGCCCAAGGCTGGCTATAGTAAAATGAGTAAAACAAATAGCTTTATGCCAAACATGCATTGCATGTGCGTGATATATTATATATAGAGGTTATATAAGATTGATGTTTACGGCAGAACGCTAATCGCCAACGGCAAACTTCAAAGTCGTAAGTTCTACAAGTTTACGGACGTTTCGACACGTTCTAAGCTAATTTATGTTTCTGTTTCAGTGCACAAATTGTCCTATATAAGTTCGAACAGCTATAACAGTTGACCTTCTTGAAAAAAGTTGCCGTTTGCGGTTAGCGCGGTCTCACGTAAACGTCAATCTTATAACTCTCTATTAATTGACGACTCTTGTGGGGCTGACTAAAGCCCGTTACATGTCGCTAGACTTTCCTTGGAAACTTTTATATTTGTTCGTGTATATACGGCAAAAATTGAAAATTCTTCAACAAGGAAAAGTGTTTGGGGCTGTCAAGGAAAACTTGCCAAGTAATTCCGCAGTATACGTCGCTGCATTCGTATTCATCTTCGAGTGGACATTTCCATAAAATCTTGTTTATTTTGAAATTCGCTTTTGCATGCATGATGCATGTGCGTTATATCGTGTAGATAGTTTCAGCTGTGTTTAATTTGGTTGGAAGCAGTTTGAACGAAAACTATTGTGAAATTGCTTATGTACTTAAATATAGCGCGGGCTCGTGAGACTTCAAGAAAAACTTAGTTTTGACAATAAACTTTCCTTGGTTGCATTTTATATGTTGTAATCAAGGCCACTGTGTGTAAGTGCATGCATATATCTATATAAGTACCTTATCCTGTACTATTGCATTAAGTGATTGAAATTGTGTGGGAATTTTCTGCAAGTGCTAACGTCCGTATACTGACGCGAGCAAGTTTTCCTTGACAAATTTTCCTTGACAACCTTTATACGCCACAAATGTTGGTCATGTCAGGTTTTCAGCAAGGAAAATTGTTCGTGATTATATACGACGGTCACCGTCAAGCTAGAAAATTTGAAAAGTGTTTGTACTGTACGTCACACTGCACACTCTTCTTCAAGTGGCCATTGCCATTAATTCTCGTTTATTTTGCAATTCGCCTCTGCAGTGTGGTATCGTGTCGACAATTTTAGCTGTTTTTAATTTTGTTCGAAACGACTTTGAACGAAATCATCCCGTTTACGTATTTAAGTATAGCACAGGATTGTAAAACTCAATTAATCGCAAAATTTTGTTCTTCGCAGATACGAGCGAGGAAACTTGTGATAGAAAATTTGCTATATATATATATATATATATATATATATATATATATATATATATATATATATATATATATATATATAAAATTTCGAAAGATTTATATTTCGAAACGCCGAAAATATAATCTGTAGCCAAAAGTATAGACGACCTATATTTAAGAAATAGAAAACATTTTTGTGTTTCTATACATTTATAAACGCGTGGGAGATTGGGCGAACGAGAAATAGAGTGGAAACTACGAGGGGGAGCCCGAATTAATTTCGAGTTCTCCTAAATTTAGTTTGGCGTAGAAACACGAGGAATACATAGAGGATATTACACGGCGGCGCGAAGATATGACTTTTATCTTCGAGTGGTGAAAACAATATTTTACGAACGAGCGCAGCGAGTATAATACCAGAAGATAAAAGTCATATCTTCAAGCCACCGTGTTATGTTCTGTTTATTATATAGTTCCAAGCAAAAAATTGTGAATTTTCACGCTCAAAAGCAAATTGAAAAAAGTCACGTGATTGGTATCTTCACTAGTGAAGATATGGAAAATATCTCACTGTGCATTCTTCACTATCTCACTCTCTACTATATATAATTTAATAAAATCTAATATTTATTTTATAATATATAACTGAAGAAAAGTCTTTATAACAATTTTTATATCGATTTATTTACAAATTCTCGTTACCACAGCTTAAAATCCTCTCGATCTGTTTGCAACATTTTCTCGTCAATTTGACCATATAATGTACTCAAGCACTTCTCTATTAAGACTGAAAATCCACTGTCTGTCTTGTGGTTCCTTAATTTCGTTGTCAGAACTAGTATAGTAGGACACTTGTTTTCGATTACCGCGCATGTTAAGATTGTTTTTTTTTTTGTTTAAGTTTTTTTTTGTTTTAAGCTGAGAGACGGTAAAGTCCCGCGTGTTTCCGTGCAGTTCAACGCTCGTGTACTATAAATGTTATAATATTATTATAAATACGTACGTTGCACGGCCGTTATGTTTTCGTTATAACACACTTGGAAATGTTATGCATGTAAACGAGTTACCTAGCGTAAACGACGACTTAATATATTCAACAGAGAACCTTCTTGCATGATCGTAACCTAGACCATATAAACATTCGTAAATATCGTAGCCTTTCTGGTGCCAGCCTGTAAACAAGATTAGAATTAATATTGCGAGCTTGCCATAACGACTCGTTGCAATCTTGCATTCCTGCCGTATATATACATCTATACAACTGGTGACAAAAACAACGTGTTTTTAGCATATATAGATGCAGTCAGTCGTATTTAAGTATAGCCTTATAGCAACGGAAAATCGCGCGTGTCTATATAACGTAAATATCCGAATTTGAGGCATCTCGCTCGATATAACTGACTGCTGAAGAGAGTTGTGGATGGAAGTTTCTAGTGGAATTGTTTATACATTTATTATAGGCCTAACCAGGAGCAGTTTCGAAAAATGCGGCAACAATCGGCCCTCTGGCAGGAATCGAACCTTGCAGTTATAGAGCTCGACAACTTGTCTCTCTATAGCTCATGCAGTTGGTTAGAGCGCTGCACTGGAATCCCAGGGCCGCAGGTTCGATTCCTGTTTGCCAGGGCCGATTGTTGCATTTTTCGCAACTGCGTGCTCCTGGTTTTATATGGTTTTGTAGATTTCCATCTACAAACCCCGTGTCCATAACGTATTTAACACCTTCGTTCACCATACTTACCCGTTTGGATGGTGAGGTGTTAGCCCGTGTGACCGAGGGATGGCCTGATACTACTGGCACTACAGTTACTTGGACTCGGGTTAAGATCCATGACAGTGGTATCTTGAGCACACCACCCCCGCAGGGCCAACACCTTCACACCAATTAACAATTGGTGGAAATATATGAAAGAACGGGAGAAAAAAATCTTTGTTCCGATACGTTTTCTATGCTTATAGCGCACACTGATTACTAAAGACTGGTTTCCATTGCAGTCGCTTTGCCTGCGCGGGCGGAGCGGGCTTTGAAAATCTGCTCACGCGGGCGTGACGGGCGTCAAAAACAATGAACGCTTCGGCCGCGCGGGCAAAACGAACGTTAATGGAAAACGGCCTTAATACCACCAATGCGCGGCCAAGCTCTTATTATACATACGCGCCCGGCCCTCTTTTCGGTCACGTGATGTGCTGACGTAACGAGACTTGGGTCCCTAGCTGTTACCCTTTGTTATTGCATAATCTCATAAACTAGAAAATTAAAAGGTCGTGTGAATTGAACAAGTCACATATTATTAGCGCTAATGTAGATCTGGGCTTACGGATCGAAAGCTTTGCAGTGATAGATTTACGTATAAACTGTATTTCAAAATCAAAATTTCGTCGATTTATAAATATTATATATAGTGTCACTTTGATTAATGTGTGCATGTAGTCGATCCATACGCCCGCGTTAATAAAAATTAAGTTGTCCTTGTTTAAACTCATATCATCAATCTTACGTTATGTATACTCACATACACTCATTATAAATCTCACGTATATATAGTGGCCGTTCACACGAACAACTTTTCCTTGTCCAAAAGCTGGCATGAATATATAGCTTTGGAACAAGGCTCCTTGGCAAGGAAAAGTTGGCATTTTTTTCCGTTATAATGAGCAAATAAAACTTAATTATCAAGGAAAGTACATTGAAAGAACGTTTAAAATACGAAAAATAAAGAACTTTCCGCGGCGTGTTTGCATCTATTCGACATATTTTGAGCAAAACAGCTGGCGAGCATATAATTCTTGCATCTTGACTCTTGGTTCAATATGCATTATACTGGGGTAAAGAGAAATTCTTATTGGTCCTACCACATTATTTTCATTATCAAACCACAAACTTGGTAATGTTGACGAGATATTAAAAGAAAAACTACCTTGAAATGCAGTCACCCAGAGACAATATTCTGGTTTACCCCTGTTGTGACTTCACCAATATATCCCAATTAATTAGGACAAATATAAAAATAAGATGTTGGACAAAATAAGTTTGTTGTTGTCAAGATATCTCTAAAAACAAGCAAGATGGAAAAGAGGTGTAATTAAAGTCTTTCTGGAACAAAAGTTCTTTGAAGCGAGACAAGTTTACTTTCTATTTCCCTTTACGTTATTTCGTCGGAGTTTAAACACTTGAGATGATGCGAGTCTTAGCATGCTATTTATGCCCTTATAACGGCTTCGAAAAAATCAAATATTTAACGTGCCTGAGTTTCGGAGTTTTATGTCAACAAACAAGGACTGGACTTTTGAAATATTTAATCCAATCCAAAAGTCCAATATGTTATCATAATTATATTCGTGCACACTCTCACACGTCTTTTATTATAAATTCAAGGGTTTTTTAAGTGCAACAAAATTAGATTTTAAATACGTCAAAGAATATTGATTTTTTTTTTTTACAACTTGAACTGGCTGAAATAGAGTGCATCTGTATAGGATGACAACGTATATGTAGAATCGCAAAAATCTATTTTAAAAATGTACGATATATTTTAATTCCATGCAGTTACGTATACAGATATTTGTAAAAATATTTGAGACAAAGAATTGGAAGACATGGACTTAAGTGCTACAAATATTGACTGTCAGTTTTGGATTAGTAAAATAAAGAGTTCATTGAGAGCAATTGACTTGTATATAGTGCATGCCCAAATGCATGTAAATTGTAAGATAGGAATTAATTGGCATCTAGTGTTCCGCATTTTCTCTTCAAATACTTCCTGAGCTTATTAATTCCAAGGAATTTGACAAAACCACGCATTTTTAATACACGCGTGAGAAAAAAAAGGTGTATAATTATCATGCAGTACATTTATTAATTCCCAGTATTCTTTTCCCGTAACTTTTATGTGGTGTATCCCACTATATATAACATTGCATGTTATTTATAGGTATTTATAACCCAAATTTTTAAAATATATTAAATTTAGTTTTATGCAGTGTAATAATATTTTCTATGATCCATGAAGGTCACTATCTCGGCATGTGCATGTATTTTTAGTTTTCGAACTGCCGCCCACGAAAATTGCAATTGCCAATAACTATACCGTGACTTGTTGAATCGCTAAAATATTCCTTGGTAATTTTAGAGAGATGGAGAGGTTGGAACAACAACGAAGAATGGAAGAATTAGAAGAGCTAAAGAAAAAGGTATGTAATAAATATTCCTTTTTTTATTATGTGGGTTGTCTCAAGAAAATGAAATGGCCGTTTTCCAGATTTTTACACACCTATATAATTATTAGTGAGCATCGAAAATTAAATCTACGAGATGATCAGTTTTCGCACTAATATTATTTGAAATGGTTCGGTAGAACGATCGAATATTCTGGCTGTTTGGAATAAAGTCTATGGAGCATTAATAATCCAAGCCCGTTATATGTGAATAGACACCCGGAGAAATGAATTAAACACACGCTAAATTATTGTGGGAGAATGGGATCAGGGTGAACCCATTATAAAACTACTCTTAAACTCCCAATGACTCCTCAATGACTCATCAAGCATTATGTTTTCATCCCGTGAGGGTATAAGACCTGCTAGGAGAGACTGAATGCAAAGGGGTAGCGATCCCTTGACAAATTCATCTGAATTAAGAGGTTGACCAGCCTGTTCCGTTTCTACGAGATTATAACCGAGTATGAAGGCGAACGTGTTGTCTCGTTAACTTTAATTTATACATTGTTATAATTATATAAATTTGCTTTGACATCAAGTATAGTTATATTAAGTATCTTTGAGTTTCATGACCCCGTACTTGAAACAGCCATAATAACATTGATTTCACGAGACCAATTTCAATCAATTTCAATACTGAAATACAAGGGTACTATTATTAATACTGAACAATCATGGCATCGCACTGAAATAGAATTATTCATTGGAAGAATGGGAAGTCCCATAGAATAGCTAAATTCAGCTTCTCCATTTTCAGATTTATCCAGTTACTAGGTATGTTTTCACCTCTGTTCCTGCACTTGTTTGTGTGTTTCTCCGTCAGTAGCGGGTAGCTAAACTGTCTTCCATGCGAACGATTGTGGAGATAATGGCCGTTTGCCAAGGAAAATTCATCAAATTTCAGTTCAATTTAGATCAAAACCGGATGAGATTTTATAAACTCTTTCTGTCATCTCTGTGGTGTGAGAAAATAATGCATATATATAATTAATATTTAATTTATGCTTGACGTTTGATGGCAGAAGTATATACTGTCTCTGAGTGACTTCTAGTTATTAATTGCATGATTTTGTTAAAATCTTCCACCAATTTGACTGCTGCGTCATCCAAAAGTGATCGACAACTACTGAAAATTTAATTTGGGAATGTTCCAACTGGGAATTGAAACCAACATGTGTGGTTTAACGTATACCGGCACTCTCAAGCTTACGATTAGATGTCGGGTGGCCAATTGAAAACTGGAAAAACTATATCACATTATCACTACTGCATACATGCACTGGACACGGGATATCCAATATAAACGTACGACGAGCTGTATAGGTAAAATTGTGGAAAAGTTTTGTTTGGTTTCTCCCTCTGTACTTGCAAACTCCAAATGGAGTGGAAACACTGGATTATAACTAAATATCTGATTGTCTCCTCCGAGAATCCAATCCAATGGCTAGGTATTTGAAAGTCAAGGTATTAGCCCTCGACAACTGATTTATGAGAGAGTCTGGCAATCGTTAATGGCAACGGTAGAAAACAAAATTGCTTACATTTTTGTTTCTCAAGCCAAAGCATACTACATTTTATATGCCTCTTAAGAGTACTTACCTTTCTTTTAAACAACCCTTAAATAGGAACATGCAGTGAATTCACATAAAGTACTCCAAACTGCTTCGAACGTTGACTGTAACGCAACTGATCCGTGAAAATGATGTAAATAACATATAGCAGTTTGAACAGCTATGGCGTACTAGAATTCTCAAGGGAATACAATTTATAGTCGCTTCTGTCTTAGAGTGAAAATGCTATTGTTGATGATCACGTCTTCATTGCCCTCGACGCCGAGCTTTCCAGCTATATGATGTTCAAATATTACTACATAGACTTTCGATGATATTTTGTCATATTTGTGATGTAGGCTGAAGAAGAAGCCCAAAGAAAGAGAGCAGAGGAAGAGGAAAGACTGCGAAAAGAAGAAGAACAGAAGCAAGCCATGCTGGCAAAAGCACGAGAGATTGAAGAAGCAAGAAGAATTGAGGAGGCGAGAAAAGCTGAAGTGGAGGCCAAACGTAGACAGGTATGTACAGTCATAAATATTTTGTGGTGCGGTAAAGTACGTGCAGCTGACTTTTATGCCTTTACGATTACCTAAGACGACACTTTCTAATTCACCATAGTAATCAAATGCCTACAAAATGTTCAATTTTATACCATTTACATTCAACCTTGTTATAAAATTAAATTTGTTGCTTATTAATATTCTTATTTTGGGATTCTTACATGATGTATGTCATCGGAAGATTTGACAGGCAACAACTTTGTTAGAGATCGTTTCTTTTTAGCAAACTAATATTGGGCGCGTAAAATTGTGCTATTTCTGAAAAGTATTTTACCAATGTCTTCTTGTTCTTTGTTTAAGTTTGATTTGCTTTTTTTATGAAAACACTGAGATTTTGTTGTTATTTGATGTATAACATACAATATTCATATTGCTATTCATAAGTCAAGGTCTTCGTTTTGCAAATGGTCATTAACTGACACTTGACTCCCCTTCCCTTCCGATCTATACCAGAAGAGAGTGATGTTTATCTGATCGAGAACTGAATGAATAACTTAAACGAACCATGTACAGTATATTTTTGTCCATTAACAAGAACGAGTTAGCACTATTGGCAAATGAAAGTCTACAAGTTATTTAAACCTTGATGTATTTCATAGGAAGAAGAAGAGCGCCTTAGATTGGAAGAGGAAGAGAGGTAAGAGTAGAAATGGCATGAAAAGATTTCACAGAACTGTAATGTTACCTGAAATGCATATTAATTTTCACCCATTAAGTTGCATTGCGCCATAATGCCCCCTACCTCATTATTTTACTTTGTTTAATGCCAGACGTTTTACTCGTCAACGAGAGAGCGCTGCCGCTCAATAGATTAACACAATTCTATGCAAAAACGTAAATATAAATGCTGAAATAAAATTGCATATTAGTTATTTGCATTGCACAACAAAAACGCCAAATGAAATACTACTGAATTACCTTTACTTGAAGGCCTAATTGAGAGAATAAGGTCTAACACAGTTCACTGAACATTAATATTCAGACTAAAAGCTGAAGAAGAGGAAAGACGGCGTTTAGAAGAAGCCGAAGAAGACGCGATATCACAACTAGACAACGCATTGAAGGTTAGGAAAGTTCTCACAATCTGTGAGTTCAGTTCGTCATTCAGTTAGTCATGTGTATTCTTAGTCTTAAGGCATATAATGAAACATTAGTGACCTTAAACAAGTTACGTTTTTGTCCACATGGACGTCACCCGAAAATTGGTATAACTCATTTTGGCGGCATTTTGCATTATGATAGCGCTCATATAGCTTCGTTGCACAGTTAGTCAGCTACCATGCATTCAAAGGCTTTTAGAAATTATTGAGGAAAGGCATCGCCTTTCTCCTCTCCTGCCACCTTTCCTTCCCCACCACTGGAATAGAACTAGAGGTGAGTACGAGATATATAGAGACCTATAGAAGATAGGCGTTCAAACCATACCCCACGATTTGGGGCATTGATGTTATGCAGTTTAATAAGTTCAAGGGTGCCTTTCAGTTATACAACTGCGATTCCATTCGTACATTTTATGTGATTATCTCTGAATAAAGTTTGGCCTGCGCCACACGTGATAAGAATGGTGTAGTTTTGTTTTTTCTAAATCGAGCAGTTTTCTCCGGAACTCCGGATTCCTCCTGTAGGAACACCGAGTCATACTGGACATCGAAGACTAGTTTGAACAAAACTGTTAGGTAGAGCAGGGTTCCCACTAGAAATTTGAGTAGGAGGCTATTTGAAAGTGTGCTGAAGGTTTCATTTGCCAACTGAGGGGATCCGAGGGCGTCTCGCCATGAAGATTATGATATTTAGACCCTCCGAAATGGTATTTCCAGCTATTTTTTGAGATTTTGTTATATTATCCAAGTATTCAACGACGAATATCTTGTAGAATGTATTTTACATATCAAACCAAGAAACCTTTCCGTTGCATTTCCGTGGTAACGAGGGAATATTTTGGGTTATTATGTTTGCACCTAACCGGTGATTATCACGCTATTGACGGCGGAAATCGCCCGGTGCCTGCTTCTACTGGGAATCCTGTTCAGTGTTTATACAGTTATAACAAGTTAGTTATTCAATAGAGTTTATTGAGATGTTACTATTTGTTTTACTGCTAACCAATTATATACTGCATGGGCAATTACATCCCCTTGACAACCCAATCATTTTTCTGTTATTGATATTCTGGTTGTCTTCACAATTTCCCAAGGTTCTTTTGCGACTATTTGTCCAGACTGTTTGTATTCCCCAAAGAAGTCCTTATCCAGTTAGCTTGCATCAAATCTTTGTTTCCGTTGTCCATATCCATTCCAAAATTAGCCCTACACGTAATTGTAACCTGCCCACCTACATGGTACATTTCCAACTAATTTTAATTAATTATATCATTGTCGTTTCATCAAAGAGCCCGCTAAATTTTAATGGCTTGAGATAAAACATTAATTGATAGTCCATTGGTTGGACATTAGTCCAACCAATATTTTCTACTCAAGGTGCTTTTGCAAAGTATGCTTTTGTGCCACTCCATTCAAACTTCTCGTATATGGAGATGTTTTGTGAAATTTCCATCGAAATGCATCAAGGAAAACTAAACAGGATTAATATGCATGCCTGCATGCCCGACCTACGCAATCTCGAAATTTCCATCGCTACTGTGTCCATAAGAGTATTCACATTTATGAAAGAGCTTTGACCTGTGTTCGCCTATTACGGTGTATTCATATGCTATGCAAACACTCTTACATTTTCATTAACTGATATAAACAAGCCGAAGGAAGTATAAGATAAATCAAGGTTTTACTAATGCTGTGGGAAGAGAATCTTCTATATTTGCATCTGGTAAAAAATATATATTTTATGTTAATTTAATCTTGTTGGTCATGAGCACATTAGTTATTTCTGCGCATTTTAACAATAGCGAGTTCACGCATATGAGATGGGGGACGTCAGGATGATGGCTAACAAATGTTTGAAATAAGTGGTTGTATGGAAATCCTGTCTTGTATTTACCTTTCCTATATAGTTTCGAACGAGTAAAACGGAGCTTTAACCTTCAGAGCAGTTTTGATCAACTCTGCTAGAAAAACTATACCTGCATGTCACGGCTTGAAATGCTATAGCGTACTATACGAGACGTGAAAATATGAAAATATGCATTTTTGGCTCAACAGAGCTTGGGCGACGTCTAAAACCCCTGCTAGACTTTTATATTTATTTATTTATTCTGTGCTATAGGATTAATATCATTGTATTGATAGCCGTCGTCCTGATGTAGGCGCCGTCTTACATGCGTACACTCCCTATTGTTGAGACTAGTCCTCCATGTACAAAGTGTAGACCTAAAGTGGTCGACGTTTTGGTCCAGATATTAATACGATATCGACTACATTAAAATTCACACTTGTCATAAAGAAATATGAAAAATAATAGTACTGTTTTTATTAAAGTATAAATGAATGTGGCATTTGCGCGATATACAATATATGAAGACATGAAATGCAATGCGTGCATATTCAAACTTTTCCCGAAATAATGTAATTTAATTACGGTAGAGTAAACTAGCTGCATTCAAATGGCTGTTTTATAAATGGCCGCCGTTTCGAAAATCGAATAGGTACTTTAATTATGTATATTGAACATAGTCTTATTCAGTATTAGGACATTCATTTTTTTGGATGGTTGTACAAAATGCCACATCACAGACACAGCTAGTTAGAGCAGAAGTGGTCAATAAAATAATTTGGATTTTAATAATGCGTCATGCATGCACGATAAAAGAGCTTTAGCTATGGTCTAACCAGTATAATCCGGCATAAAATATTTGGTATAGTTGCACTCACTCATGAGGCATGCTGCATGTCAGTATAGTTTATTAACATTACACAGTTACAACGCTTTAGCTCTTATAATAGAGCAGCCTTAGGCTCATGCACATGCAGCCTTCATAATTGGCTCCTGATTTACACAGTAGTTCTTTGATACACATCTAAATTAGCCCAACTGTCAACTGGATCATCGTGTTATAAAAATGGTATGATCATTCATGATAACTATCTATAATTGAGCCTTTATACACGAGAACAACAGATGGTCAAGTTCCCTAGGCTATCTGTTATAGGCTATTTTACCAATTAAATTTGTCTGCCCATGTGTAAAGACGGCTACATAAGATACGTATACTTAAAGATAAATTTTCCTATCAAAGCCATTTGCTCTTTTGAAAGACAATTACAAAAACGATATAGACAAAAGGAGGTAGTAACATGATTGTGAAATTGTCAGGCAAGACGACAGACAGTCATGGCTTGTTAAACCACGACCAAAGGTTGATGAGGACCACACTCTCCTTACCGCCCCTGCCCCACACCCCTACCACCATGCAGATCTAGATGCATTCCTCCCTGCCTGGGGGCACACCACTATATATCGTGTGTACAATTTTTATTTCACTTCATGTAGCAAACTGAGGAAGTCAGTGATGACGAAGAAGAAGATGACGAAGCCTTCATTGAACGTTCACCAAGTATTATTGATAAATCATTGGAGTTGCCATACAAAGAAAGTTATCTCACAATGAAAGAAGGTACAATATGTGCATTTTGCTCACCCACACTCGACAGTGAATTTTTCTCGGGGCTTTCACAACAGGGTTTACGCTCCAGTAGATACAAGAGTGGAAATTACACAAAAATGCCATGTACAATGGTATAAGTTATATAACATAACGTTTGCCTGGGGCAAGTAAAAATCATTATACGGGCAAGTGAAAGCTTGATTGCCGATCGGGCAAATTGTTTTGCCGCAAATTAATTGCTACACTATATTTGCTTGTTTATGTTGAGCATTAAGCATTCTGTCTTTGATTCTTTATGTAATATATAAACCATGAGTGGCCGTGTTATATATCAGATATGCAAACTCGATCCGAACGCGAGAGGTTGCATGTTTGATACAACAGGGACGCAAATGTTTATATAGCTTGTGAAACGTCTCGATGAGAACATTCGTATTCTTCAACAATTTAAAATAAATTAATGATATTGGTGAGAAAATTAAACTTAAAGTTTATGTAAATCAGCATGATTCTGTATCATACATGAGATATACAAACTCCTTCACGCTCATAATTTTTATTGTGTTTTCTTTATGAACTATATGAATTAGTTTCACAATAATAAATCAAAATGGTAAAATGGATAAGTTACGCTACTGATTTATGGGCTAGAATCGCAGGCTTCGTTGTTTCTCTGTAAGTATAGGTAATAGTATGGTTTCGAGTGCAATTTGGAAAAAACATACACACGAGTGAGTTTTTCAAAGACTATCAAAATTGTGCGAGTCCGAAGGACGAGTGCAATTTGAAACCTTTGAAAAACTCACGAGTGTATGTCTTTTCAAATTGCACGAGAAACCATACTATTACTTATTATTAATGTACATGAAAAAATTTCCCGTCGCGTGCGTAAGTCACATTTAGAAATTAAGAAAATTAAGAAATTTGGAAAACTAAAAATTAAGAAAATTAAGAAATTTGCACTGTGTTTCATTTTTTGGCACTGTATTTCGAAAAAATTGCGCTACTCTTAACCAATCAGAATTGAGAATTTTTTCATGTATATTATTAATTAGGTTATAAATTCCTGTCTTGCTGTTTATGAATGCTGGCCATAATCCTTGCTCTGAGCGGGTCCTTCCCTTTGAAGTTTTCCTTGTGTTTTTCAGGAAGTTGCATCATGTCAATCCAAAGTTTACTTATTATTGGCACTACCTACACAGCCAGAGACCGCTTAAGTTTATATCCCTGCCCTAACCCTAATCGCTGTCCCCTGACTGATAAACTATGAGACATGAAATCTATATCCGTAATTGGAGCTAATGGACCATTCCCCAATTAACCAAAATTTTGAACTCAACTCTAGACAAAAATTTCATTAGATTACAAACGGGAAATGGTTACCACTTCTGTGCGTAATACAAAATGACTGAAAATTACAAACTTCGCAAGGCTATATTATCCGCATTTTACAACATTTTGCATCGAAACTTTGGAATATTACTAATTTTGTGATTCTCTTTCAAGCTGTGATGAAATTTTTGTTTAGGCTAGTTAAGATCAAAATTTTGGAAAAGTGGTAACCATTTCCCATTTGTAATCCAAAATAACTGAAAATTGCAAATTTCTCAAGGCTATATTATCCGCATTTTAAAACATTTCGCAACGAAACTTTGGAATATTACTAACTTTGTGATGCTATGATGGAATTTTATCTAGACTTGTTGAGATCAAAATTTTGGTTAATTGGGGAATGGTCCATTGAATAGAAAATAAGCAAGCTGACTTTTGAACCAGCCGATGTTCAGTATACAGTCGACATTTAATTTCGATCCTTCTAAAAAGTTAAAGTGCCTATATCATGGTTTTGGAGTTTGCATATCTCGAAAGTTTAGGGTATTTTAAGACACTTTGCAATATATTTTGTTGTTGAAAAATTTCATCTTGATGGATTTATTAGCTCTTAAAATGACCGAAATTAACGTCAAAAGGAGAATTGCAAATCAGTTTTCCTTTGTATCATTGCAACAAAATTCTCCTTTTGACGACGTCATGTCCGGTAACTTTAAGAGCTAATAAATCCATCAAGATGAAATTTTTCAAAAACCAAATATATTACAAAGTGTCTTAAAATACCCTAAACTTTCGAGATATGCAAACTCCAAAACCATGATATAGGCATTTTAACAATACAATCAAATACATTGCAATTTTAACCTCTTGAATCAAGCGAGTTAATCTTTGCACCATGTAGAATATATCGCGCGGGTTTTATGAAACTTGATAACCATTTACCGTTTACCTTTAGGAGGTCTTTTGAACCTATGGAAGAGACATTGGTGTATCTTACGAGATGAGACTCTTATGTGGTTCCGTGCTAAATTGGTAAGTCCAAATAATAATCAGCTGCCTGTCATTGTTTCCATATCTATTAATATTACTTTAATTTTTATTTCACGGTATTTTATACGTAAATACATGTATATTAATGATTTTGGGCGCCTCACTCGATGGAATAATTGTTGAGGGGTTTTGTAGATGTAAAATTCGGGTGTAAATGTTATAATACAACATTCATTAGACCAGACGACCAGGGGCAGTTATGAAAAATGCAACTATAGGGGCTATGGCAGGAATTGAACCTGCGGCCCTGCGATTTCGGTGCAACGCTCTAACCAATAGAGCTACAGAATCCAGTTGTCGAACTCTAACCGCAAGTTCATGTACAGGTATATGTGCTAAGGTGACGCCATTGTAAAATGTACTCGATAGATAAACAATACAAAATCATCAACCATGTACAAAACCACTCAACAATTGTATGTTTGTACGCCCATAGGAAGCATTGAAAGCTGGCTGGCTTCTGAAGAAAGGTGGTGGCACTGGAACATTATCCAGGTTGGTCTTGTTAATATTCGATAATATGTATTCAAATTCAAAGCATTTGAAGAAGTATTCAGGTGCACGAGGTTGTATACGTTTCATCCATATTGACGTAAGACTTTCTAAACTAGTTTCATTCATGTCTCTGTTGTATTTACTTCCGAGTTTTCAAAGCAATAAAAGATGAGCCTTATTGCAAGTATTAAATTTCAGGGAATCACGAGCCAACGTGAAATTTGCGTGGCAGACTCATTCTGTCGGCCTGTTTGGTGTCCTTGTCGGTGTTTAGCTTTAACTGATATCCCTTTAACTTTCCGAATGTCTGTATATCGTCCTTCTGTTGCAGTTGAACAGACCTGCAAGGTCCAGAAAAAGGACGCAACACGTTTAGCGTCTCTGCGTGAAGTACTCTTTCCAAGTAAAGGTTTCCCCTTTAACGTGAAATGTTTTGTATGGACTAATTTGAAACTACATTTTGACCAAAGTGCTGTAGATGACGAGATGGAAATAATGGCGGTAACTCGGATCCTTTATATACAATCTTCTGTGTTTGAACACAAGGAAACATTATTAAGTGCACGTTGTCTTACACACACTTAATTTTTATACGCCAAGCATTTTTCGGCGTACATTCACACGTCCGTATACGCCTATTTTTTTAACTCCTGCAGTTGATTAATGAGAATTTGCTGGTTCTAAAACATCACGAGAAACGCCTTCTTTTCCAAGCCAGACTCAATGAATGACTTTAAGATGTTTTGTTATTCTTGACCCAGTTCCAAGCGCACATTCCAGTACAATTGTGCCGCCAAATACTCAGGCTTAATGGGAAGAGGAGAGCCCCTCCCCCTTTCTTCCCTGCCTCCAAATATTATACGTTCGCTTTATTGACATTTCGTCGAACTAATTTACGATTGATACGACGGGTTTTAAGACGGTATAGTACGTTTTCGAAATCTACCCGATAATGAACCCAGCTCAAACGAGGATTTTCTCATGAGAGTTTTCTCAACTCTCGCAACCCCGCCCAAACGAGATGAAGGGTTGCGCGAGAGCTGATGAGAGGTTGCCTTGATAATACCAGTCAAACTAGCAAAAACTATCATCAAAATTTGAACCTGCTCATAGTTGATAAAAGTGCAAGAGACTGTCATAAACTTTCATCGTCGTTTGACTGGACTTGACTGTGGAGGCGTGAAGAAGGTTTTCGGCTCTAAACGGTATAGAGCTGGTAGGCCACGCTTCTAGGCAAGGCTTCATACCTATAAGATCTTTTGTTATACTGTAATTTAGAAGTCTTTTTTGTGCCAGAGCCATGCTCATTCCACTACATTTTTTGTCAGGCGTAACTGGAAGAGGAGATGGTTTGTATTGAAAGACACAATTTTGTCCTATCACGAGAATGACGCTGAAGGAGCGAAAACATTAGGCAGTATCGACCTGAAAAATTGTCAGTAAGTATTTTAGGAACTTATCCTATCTTATAAACTTTCAAGTGGAAAATTATTTAGTGAAGCAAATCTTGAAATACTAGATTGAATGATCTCACGATATTCTATGCGTCTGTTTGATTCGGAATTTATAAACGAAACTTAATCGAATGTATACAGGGTGTATCAAAATAAACGCAATTCATCTTTTGTGCTTAATAACTTTCGAAATACTATTTCTAGTTAAACGCATTTAGGCTTACTTCAAAGCCTGTTCTTTTCTCTTTCAAACAAACTATTATGCTTGTCTCCAATGCTAGTAATGATTGCACAGGAAAAGATTTAGTAAAACCTATCATTTTTAGTTGCTGTTTAATTATGCAAGTCTACTATGTTATTGTTTAGTCGGTTTAAATGTTAGAATGTTCTTCTTTAAACTTTAATGTTGTCGTCACTACATCTGGAAAACCACGTAAGAACAAATTAAAAGTATTTTAAAAGAGACCAGGTTGTTTGAAAATCCCAAACGAACGCTAAAAAT